GTTGCATTTTTTTTGGCTCTTGCTACTTTTCTTCCAATCCGAATTTCATCATGAATCTCTAACAGAATCATCATGTATCTCTCTATCTCTCTCTCTCTCTCTCCCTCATTCTCTATCAATAGATTGAATTAAAGTTAATGTTACCAATGTTTTCACAATTGGCATCACTGATTATTTAATATTAGTCTTATTATTATTTCTATTATCAACATTATTATTGAATTAGATTGAATATAATGATAACTTTTCTGTCAGAACTTTTTTCCTGATTTTTTTTTCTTCTTATTCGCTATCCAACCTGTCTCTCCCTTGATTCATATTATTGAAACATTAGTACGTGGAAATGATGATGATGATGATAATGATTGTGAGAGTGCGAGTGGGTCATCATGATTATGGAAGAAAGAAACAATGAGAAGAGAAGTGGTAAAAGTTTTCAGGGTGGGAAGAGGAGGAGGACAAGGAAGAAGAAGAAGGAGAAAAAAACATAATCTAGTTAATCGTAATTTTAGCTTGATTGCATTGGACCTTAGTGTCTTTCTATCGATTCCTATTTCCACCCAAATTCCATGATTATTATTATTATTATTTCTCTGTCGATACAATGACGAAAATTCAATTCTCTAGATTCATCATGAATTCCACTTGTGATTATTATATTCATTAATATTTGTTCAGAAGATGAATTTAAGTTACTCGTCCCCGTTGGTTGATATGAAGTTAATAACTTTTATATCAATTATCGGATATTTTTATGAATCAATTGAATTGACAATCTTTTATTTTTCTGTCCACAAAAGTTATCAAAATTGAATTCAAGTTCTGGTTAAATTTTACTTCATTTCCATGGTAAATGTTGTATGTTAACTTTGAATTTTTATTCCCAAAAGTTATCATACTCAAATTACATTTCGATCTGATGATTTTACTTGAAATGTTCAGTAACGAAGGAAAAGAAAAAAGAAAAAGGAAAAAAGTTTAAATGAATCAATCAATAAACGATAGAGTTACTTTATCACTTTTTTTTATTCTATTCTATTTATATATTATTTCAATTTTTCTCCTCGACTTCATGATAACCAGAAATCATGAATACGATAAACATGTAATGGATTTGGTGTATCAGGATATTGTTGCTGATTTTATCATGTATCAGTTTTTTTTCTGCCTCCAAATTTATTAATCTGTCAACTGTAACTATTATTTCAAAATAAGTTCTGGTCCAATTATTTTCTGATCAGATAAATAATTTCATTTTTTCCCCCTGTAAATGATGAAACAACAATTTAATCTCAATCTAATTGATTAACTGTTAAAGTTTGATTTGTTCAGATGATAATCTCAATTTAGATTGTGTAAAAGATTCAATGAATGACAATAATGTGTTTCGAGATGTAAAAAATAGTATTACAGTCATTCCAGTTTGACAAGATTCAAAATGATTATTAAAATGACTAAGCATATGTTAATTTATTGTTTCCAAAATGAAGACTCCAATAGGAAAACTATTGACCACAATTAGAAGACTAATTATCGATAGCAATTCCTTGTAAACTTAGAGAAACATATTTCATCATATTAGTCCAATAATTTTTACAATCATCACTGCTTATACATTGTGATGCATTTTCGATCGCTGAAAATACAGCATTTCCATCAGCTGGTCTTAATCTTTTAATATAAAATTTTAGCTGATTAAACATATTTTCAATTGGATTTAGGAAAGGTGAATAGGGAGGGAGAAAAAGAACCTCATGATTATAACCTCTAACGATTTCTTCCACTCTATTATCATGATGAAATCGTACATTATCCATAATCAATGTATATTTTTCGATTGAACCATTAGGAAAAATTCAGTAGATAATCGATAAAATCGTAGTTTCTTGTGTCTGATAAAATTCCATTGAATACAATGATGCATCAATGTCGATGAATAGACTTTTACATATTTCGCTATAATCTTTCCTTATTGTAATAGTCGAGTCACAATTACGCCTAATTGGTATTGGGGAGATCCTTTTTACACTAAAATTTAGTCCATTGAGATAATTGTTAATTGTTGATTTACAAACTTTGATTTCAAATTCACTTTCGATTCTATCTGCTAAATCGACTAAAGTTCGTTGACAATCTTCCTCTATTAATGATCTCAATCTCTCGATATGAATTGGTAGTAATTTAGGTTTCCGGTGACCTTTTGGTAAAACTTGATCCCCAAAATTTTTATATCTCTTGATCACTGTCCGAACTGTTTCATAATTTAGTTCTAGAGAATCACTTATACACTTAATTTTGACTCCATCATTAAATTGTTTTATAATTAAAGATCTAAGGGCGTTTGGAACACGATTACGTTTAATTGGACTCATTTTAATAAGTAAATTAGTCAACTGATCATAATTAACATCAATATGAACTGAACCATTAGTCTTCTAATCAATAGTCATATGGACATCTTCTCATCAATTTACTCATTAGTCTTCTCATTTGGTCAACCGTCTTCATGACCGACCGGTCTTATCAAACTGGAATGACGTTTATGGACGAAATGATATTGATTCTATCTTTCTATTCGACTCAAATGATCATCCAAGGTTGCTCAAACATCAGGCTCCATCGGTGACGGAATTGCCCATCATCATTCATCTTCTCACCATAATAATAATAATAATCATCATCATCATTCTCATCATCACCAACCAGGCCTATCATCATCGTCCATGGGAAGGATTCCCGGACATTTTACTACTAATCTTCACCGGTTTACCGCGGTGCCTCCCAAAAATTTGAACAACCTTTTCGGTGTCAGTCCAAGTGATATTGACAAATATTCACGAGTAGTGTTTCCGGTTTGTTTTGTTTGCTTTAATCTAATGTATTGGATTATCTTCCTTCACATCAGCAGTATCCTTGAGCCTGGACCGGATGAGGAAAGCTAATGAATCCATATAATCAAATTGAATCAACTCAACTTTTTAAAGCTCATGGATAAAGATTAGGAATATCAGTCAACAATCAACAATCAACCACAACCACAACCACAATCGTCAACAAAAAAACAATACCAACGATAATATTATCATGATCATCACTGAATTGTATTAATTGGGAAACTGAATTGTTTTCAACTGTTAAGCTCAATATCTTTGTTAATTACTATCATTTTTGCCTCTTAATACTTACTGTTAATTGTTACTCTTATTATTGTCCTTTTCATTTAGTTTGTCCTCTTTATTTTGATATAAGTTATGTAATAATATTAACAATTGTAATTATTTTTAATTAGGATAATCATTGTTACCATTTTTGTTACTTTTTATCCTTTGTTTTTGTTTTTGTATTGATCAACTGATTGATTTATTTGTTAATTGTTTACGTTGTTATTGTAGAGATGAACAATTGTAACTTGATCAATTTTGATGATCATCATTTTAATTAATTAACTAGTTGATATTTGATTGTAAAAGCAAATGATTGATGAGCACAATCAATTTGACAGCTTCTTAATCATGATGATGACCATTTATTGTATAATTGAAACTCAAACTGACCATCATGTGGACATATTAACAGGGGAAAATGTTGACAGTTGCAGGATTAAATATATAATCTGTTTCCATGGCAATTAACGATGAAATTAATTCTGATTTAATATTATTCTCATCATCGTGTAAATCAAATTATTTACTGATTGAATTCACGTTCTAATATATTGAATAACAATTGAATCTTGATTAACTATTGTTGTTATGGAAACAATTGATTTGATCAAATATCAACTATTGATCTTGATCATAATAATTAAGACAATTTAATCAATCATAAACTGAACATCAAAATAATTAACAATTAAGAGATTCATTTTGTTTTCTTCTTCTTCTTCTTCTTCCCCTTGCCATTTTTATTAATCAATTAAATCAAAAGCAAAACAATCAAAGGACCAAGAAAATCAACCATGACCAACAATTAGATTGCTAATAATTGATTGGACTATTTATAAATTGTTTGGTATTCACATGGTCAATCCTTAAAGACTCACCCACTGCCACCTAATCATCAAGATCAATTGATTAAATAATCAAATCGTTACCCTTGATTGTATTGGATAAAAAGTTGACTGATAACAAGTAATAGGTAATGGCTAAGGTACCGACGGCGGGGAAGGTGAAGATTGTGATCTGAATAGCGATTTTTTATTCATCGTGGTCGATGATGAGCCGTCTCTTTGGGAGGAATCAGGATTTGACATTGGAATTGGACAATGACCAGTGGACATTCAACTCGCTCAACATCACCGACAATTTTTGTCCACCCTACAGCGGACAACAAGCGATGATCTTTTCAAAGTTCATCTTCGAAGTTTGGATTCTAACTGGTTCGAAACGGATCAATAGGAAATTCTCATTGTCCAGTTCAGCTCTCTCACTCTCTCTCTCTCATTTTCTTACCTTTTGTTGACTCAATTGTTACAATTTAACTCGCTGATAAAAGGATAATTGCTGATCAATTGAATTATGTAAAGTTAATCATGAAAAGTTGTTAATAGTTTATGATTAGGAAGTAAACCAAAGTAACCGATTGCTACGAAAAAAGAAAAGGTGATAAATCTTAACAATTAACTTAATCACTGGAATTATACATAATATTAATCACAATTAACTATATATAATTAGGTTATTATTGAGTCTGTTGTTGTATAATTAAATAATATCATCATTATCATAATCAACAATTACCAATACAGACTATTAACAAGTGATTGAGATTGAAAGACAATTAAAACTCAATTCAAATTGTTATACTGGAATCAGATTTATATATGAAAATATATTATATATATTATTAATATATTATAAAATAATATTGATTAAATTAACACTAATTATATGATTAAATAATCATTATTAATTGATGAATGACCAAAAGAAAAACGGATCAATTAATTGTTGTAACAATTAAGCGACTAATCAAAAAAAAAACAAGAAGACTAAAAAAAATACAAATTTGTAAATTAAACAATTTCATTTGTAAATCAATCATATTATGTAATTAATCAGATTAACCTCTGTCAATCTAATCTTTCTCATTAAACAATTAATACATAATTAATCAAGAAAAAAATATATAATCAATTTGTTCATTGGTCTCTTAATTTAAAACAATTAAAACAATCGGTTCGATAATCAAAGGGAAACCCAATCTTTACGAGGGGTTTTCGAGGGGCTGGTGTTCTTGGTACTGGTGGTGTTGGTGTTGGTGTTGGTGTTTGTGTTTTTGAAGAATCGATATACAGTTGAAGTCGATAATGGTTCTGAAAAAGTAATAACAATAGAGATAGAGCCATAGTTAGTACCAGAATTTTGGAAGTTTGAATTTGTGATTACTCTTTGTTGCGATTTTGTTTATTATCTGTTTCTTTACCTGTTTCAGTCTCTCGACAGGTGACACTTTGTATCGGCTTAACGGAGACTCGACGATTCTCTGAGTTCTTATTGTTAACAGTGTTTCCATATCGATCGTTACTCCCTGAGGTTTGTTTATCATTCTTAAGAATCACAGATAACCATGGATGTTTCAATGCTTCATCTGGTGTTATTCTATGATGAGGACTCCAGCTGATTGAAGAGAGAGAGAGAGAGAGAGAGAGAGAGAGAGATAGAATTAATTAGCTTTAATTAGTAACTTTTAATTGTTTGTAGCTATTGTACAATTTAACTTACTCTAGACATCGACTTAAGAAATCAACAAAATCATCGTTGGTACATTTAATTGCTTGGCTTAATGGCTTTGAACCAGGTTTCCGCTTCTTACCACGAGAATTGGTTGTATTCCTTGGGTTACCTCGAGAATCTAATTTGTAACAATCAACCAAACAAAATTTTTCATAAGTAAATCAAATAAGTTAATTGCTTCTTTGACTTAGAGGTGATTGACTTTTTGCAATTGAACAGAATTATTAAATTGACTCAACATTTATCTAACAAGGGAGGGTCAAGAAGTGTTGGAACGTTTTTTCTTGTACGAAAAAAAAAATGATTCAAATTTTTCCATATTTTCATATCTACTGTTAACTCAATCGTCACTCTGCTTAAATTGATTATTGGAAGGCTAATTATCACAATTGAATTAACAATTAGCACTTCTCATAATTTGTAGTAATTAAGCTGTTTACATTGTTTAAATTTTCTGAGGGGGCTACAACTATATCATACAATTGTCAATGAACTATTCTCAATTAAACTTTGCTATACAATTTTCGCAATTTAGCAATTAAAAGTTACAATTGCGACAATTAAATCAAGAACAAAAACGAATTGAAAACAGCGCCATCTGCGAGATTAAAGAATAAATATTTTCTAGAGATTCGTAAAAGAAACAGTAGATGGCAATGTCTGTTCATTTCTCTTCGCCTGAAAATATGAGCAATTAGCTAATTGTTTTTTTGTCTCAAACTAATTCTGCGAAAATTTGATATTTTCGATCCCTCCGGGCATCTCAACATTTTGAGCTCAGTTGAACACTTATACCACCTTACTCATTTCTTTTCAACAATTAACTTTTATTGTAAAGAGCAAAAAGTTAACTAAATTAAAGCTAATAGTTTATGTGACGTTTAAAATTAACTTTGCTCATTCTGATTATGTTTAAATGTATTTACTATGATGAAAGTGATATAATCAAAAGTTGATGTAATTAGATTGATTTTAGAATCAGTGAATATCATTCATAATTGGATATTGATTGTTATCGAGCTCAAATATGATCAATAATTAACCAAACATAATTAGCTGTTGATCAGCTGTATCCATGTATTGAATAATCAACTGGTATCGTTGAATAACAAAGGAAACCTAATCTTTGAATGATGATTCATTGTATTCAGGGAAATCTGAGTAATAACTTGAAGTAGTTGTCATGAAAAATTCAGTAATTTAACTCAGACATTACCAGGGAATGAACAAGATCATGAAAATAATTGATATAACCTCAGGGGATTAGCATCTGAAGATGATTATAATTCATTGTGAGTGTCGTGATTAATTGATTGGGACAGTTTCTCACCGAAAAATAGTCTCCGTCTAGTTGCTGATTCCAATACTGATGAAGGTGGAACTCCGAGAATCTCCATGATACATGATAACTGGTCAGCTTCATTTTCACCAGGAAAAAGAGGATAACCCGTGTAAAGTTCAGCCAAGATACAGCCGAGACTCCAAATATCGATTGGAGTTCCATAAGGTAGTCCAAGAATAACCTATTATCGAATCGACAATTGGAACAAAAAATAAATATAAGATCATTATTCTGAATTTATAATCCAATTTCAAGGTTAATCTCTCATGAAATACTTATTAATCAATTTTCCAATCAGGTAAAAATTTCACGAGAAAATATTTATCGTTTTTTTTATAATTATTATTAGTTTAATTCCATCAGGGTTTTTCTTTCATGATCAATGAATTTTTCATTCTGATATCTTATTTTACTTTTACCCATAAGTCTCATTATTATCTCAATTGATTATCAATTAGAGTTCATGATAAACATTTCCCTCCACCCACTAATCATCATGTCTACCATGTTTCATATTACATTTATTTCAATTCTGAAAATCGCATGAGCAATTTTCAGATAACATTAATGAACATTAATAATTGATATTATCATTACTCGTGAAAAACAATCACCTTGAAAATTTTCACTCTAAATGATCAAAATTGTTTGACCACCAACCAGTGGTCAGTGTTAATTGTAACGAAGTCCACAATCAACAATCAACGATTTTAATCACTCATCAAAATAATCTAACTAAATGAATCCCAACAAAGTAAAACTCAATTGCCATCAAGTTAATCAAACACAATCAGTTGAGTATTTTTAGAATTGAAAAAAAAAGACTTTGATTGTCCTTGACAATTAACTAATCATTTCAATTTGGTTGTCACTTTCATAGCTATTTATATGGATATAAGTGGATTATGTTGTTATCAACGGAAGTTTCATTCCCCCCTTGACAATTTAATCATCATGATGGTTAGCATGATGATCAAATTGATAATCCAATTATTATCTTGTTGATAATATTTAAATTTCTTAAGCGGTAATAAGATTAACGATATTGATTAGATTGTCAGTTAAACTTGATATTAATCAAATTGTGGAAAAGGGAAAAAGTTAAAACAATCAGTTAACTAATTGTGTGTCATGAATTTTTATGTATTCATATCATCATATTATTAATATGATAAATTAATTGTTCATCATATTATACAATTGATAGGGCAATGATCTGACTGGTCAATTGAATCCTTTCAAGTCATGATCATGGTGAGTTTTCAGTTGATATTGACAATAGGGTAACAAACTCATGATAATGACCATCAATGTTCAGAGAGTTTATTATGAATGAATAATAATTCTCAGGACATTAATCTGTCAAAAAATTTTCACCTCAATTATATGAGATTTCAACCAGCAACTCATGAGATTCCTGAATCATCAATTCCACCCACAATCAATCAATGATGAAAGTTTGACAATCAATTACTTAATAGCTTTTTCCATGGTGCCATTAGTTTTCCCTCTCAGGTATTATAACAATTGAAAATCATGTTTCCATGGAACCTGAGGTTGGAATTTTTGAAATTGATTCCAAATAATTCATCCATGGTAAACATTTTGCTCATTTTAATCATGACAAATTTATCTGAAATTTGGCTGCAACATTATCATGGTTATCATGAATTTCATGTTCCAATTGAAAAACTGTTACAGTTATCATTATATAAAAGTTGAGTGTTGACTGAGTAACTTAATTGTTATCAATTGTAGTAATTAGTATTTACATCATCATGTCAATCATTAAAAAATCAGAGTTTTTTTTTATAACTATGTAATCAACATGATTCTGAATTCATGAAAACGGAAATTAAAATTCTGATCATTTTTTTTTCTTCCTCTCCATCATCATTAATCTCGGAACTTTTAATCAGCTTGATTGAGCATATTATCATCATCATTGAACACTAATCATCAAAAGTAATTTACTATCAAGTGTGGGAGAAGAAGCAAATAATTAGATACATTGATTTCCATGAAATTATTTCCATCAATTCACCCGTATGAATTTGATCCCCTTTTCTATTGAACATTGAGAGACTGAAAATTTCCATCAACATCAACAATTTCCTCTTGTAATTATTTAACATGGTAAATGAAGGATAATAAATATGTATAAATAACAGTAATTGAACCATGGTTGTATTTCATGAGAATGAACTTTTCTTTGCCTCCTTACCTCTGGAGATCGATAAAATCGAGATTGAATATAAGTGTAAACCCGTTGATGTGAAAAACATGACGATCCAAAGTCGATCACCTTGATAGCACCTCCAGAATTGGCTCTTAAAAGTATATTTTCCTGAGAATTGGGAAGAGAAAAACAATATTCATGATGATTACAACTTTATTTATCTCTAGAGTTTCCATGAAGATAATGGTGATAAATCCTATCGATTGAAAACGCGCAAGAGAAAAAAATATTTTCAGAACTTTTTTTCATTTCCTTTTTCTATTTACCGTTATTTTCGAGTTGAATCGATTATCCATTATCTTTATCATTAACTTTCACTTTCTCTCACCTTACACCCTCTAAATAGATAACCTTGAATTTCCTGTTCATCTCAGAATGAAAATCACACTAAGAATTTCGTGTTTTCAGGTTTAATTGTTTTCCTTTTACAATTAATAGAACTTTTTTTTTCGTTTCTCTTTTTCTATCGTAACTTTTTCCTTTCAATTTGTTTTTTCTCTCAATTTAATTACATGTTGTTCACTTTCCATACTGAAAGTTCAATGGAATACGAATCAAATTCATTGATGCTCAAAGTTTCGAGGTGGAAATGTAATAATTTTCTCATTCGTGAGTCTTAATTTTTTTCACCGCGAAAATATCAAAATTTGATCATTGAAATGTCAATGTTAAGTTTTGATTCTTATGTTTAGACAATCATACTTGATATTTAAATGATTGTTACAATTAACTGATTGTTATTGATCATGAATAACTACTTACAGGCTTTAGATCACAGTGGATTATATTTTCACGATAAAGTAACGATAAACACTGAATCAATGAGTGGGTGAACTTTCTGATTAAATTGACGGAGAATCCTTGATAATTGTGTCTCTTGATTAGCTCGTACAAGTTGATTCTGTTTGTGAAAAAAGTATAATTAATAAATCGTTGATCAGTCTATCTGTTAACAATTTAAAGTCCAACCAAACAAATGTCAATTTCCAAAAGTTAATTGTTACCTTTGATTTACTTTAGGGTAATTAAATAGCAGAAAATCAGGAAAAATCTCAAGTGGAATCTCAGTTAAATTGTTTGTCAACAATTGTTGTTTACTTGATTAGTTGATTAGACAATTGTATTAGATGATTAAACCATTTGGTTAAATGATAATTACACAATTAAAGATAAGTTAATGACTAAGTTAATCATTTACAATTCCCAATATTGATATAAATCACCAATTATATAATCAAGTCTCAGTTATGATACTTGATTAATCTCAACTAATTGTCACCAATCAACTAAATGACTTACAAACATCAATTCAATCACGAATCTTTGTTATAAGTATCGAATTACAAGTTCTATTATTATTGTGTTCATCGATCATTAGAACAACAAAAGAGAGAAAAAAACGGCCCGAAAATTTCGAAATCAAACAAAAATAGTTCTAACAATCAAGTTAATTGTTGTTTACCTATTTTTCAATCGAGACTTTATTTAACCTTCACCGTAGTTATAATGGATTAGTTTGAAGGCGAAAATTGTTTAACTGTTAATTCTGAACTGGTAATGGATTAGGATTAACTTTAATCTTTTCTCTCTCTTCTATTATTTTCGATTTTTTCATTTCAATTTCGTAACCTTAGTTACCGAAACTGATATTACTCTTATATTATCTTTTCTCGTTTACATCGGATTAGATTTACAAATAGTGATTAACATTGATTAACGAACCATATTGTTAATAATGACACAAAGAGTAATCAGCTAATAACAGTTGAGACAATAAATAATTCGTTAAATCAACTGATTAGATTAATGTAAAGACAATAACAGAGACTAATGTGTTATTGTCAAGTTTGATAAAAGCTCAGAACTTTGGTCATTTGCTCAGAGAGGAAAAGAGAAAAATTTTCTTGGCCAATTTGATAAAATCCAAAATAAATTATTAGCTTATTATTGACGAGCGAAGTGATTTTTTTGTTCCAAATCAATCAATGTATATAATTTACATCGATTCGTTAAAATTTATAAGATCGGAGAGAAAACTTTCACAATGAGAATATTTTTTTTTATCATAATAACAAGAATAATAATTTTCGTTAAATTGGTTGGATTACATGATAATTTCATCATGCATGAGGAACCTGACAATCTGATCGGTCAGTAGATATGAAAGACTGGACAGTCATAGTTGTGGCTTCTCTTTGAATGTTTATCATCATTTTGCTGACCATTATCATTACTCATCTTAAGAGTGGTCAGAAAATATAAAAGAGAGAGAGAGAGAGAGATAGTTGGAGAGACAAAACTCATAAAAGTTCAGAAACCATGAGATAGACAAGTGATAAAGTATCAACATGAATCAAGTAAGAATTTAAGATTTCGTCAGAACTTTTTTTATTTAGATTCTATTCTCTTTTTCATCATTATCAACATCTCTCTTTTTCTCCCACAGTTTGAGTATCTCTCTCAGTAACAAATCAGAATAATAAATGTACTCTAATGTCCTTGAAAGTGGCTTTTGATCCTCCCTTGTCATGTTAACGATGTTCATTCCCTGTTCATCGTGAATTCTTTTCCACATTCAATCTTCAAAGATTCTAATGCTAAGAATTATTCTAACTCTTTCTCTTACCATTTTCTTTTGTTTCTCACTCTCTCTCTTTTTTCAATCGTTCTAATATAATCACCATCCTCTTTCAAAGTCAAATTCTCAATCAATGATCAGTCTGACATTGAAATTGCCATGATAAAAATAAAGATAACCCGATAACTAAATCAACCACTTTCCTCTCTCTCTCTCATCATTATCTTCCCTAGAATAAAATAAATTAAGATGAAGCCAATCATCATCATCATCGTCATCGATTAACATAATCAAACTGATGACAAAAAATAAACACAATCAACAATCATTATCTTGAGTAAAAGATATAATCAGAACTTTTTTTTATCTATTTTGGTGGTAGTTTTTTGAAGAGAAAGTGTTGAAAGTAATTGTAACATGAGAAACATTGAATTTTCCCCTCACCATGGTTATCATTATGGTGGAAATTTTCATTCTGTCAAAAGATGAGATGAAAAGAATAGAAAAGTTCTGCGATGAATATTCAGTCATAATCTATGATTATTGAACATTCTGAGGTCCAATTTTAATCGATTATCAATGATTGTGTGAAATGAACATTCAGTTGACTGGAAATGAACTTTTTTTCTCAATGAAAACATTTCATTCACTATAAATGATATTGAATCGATATCAAGATCATGATATAATTGTAGTTGATTTGTATTTTAACATTCAGAAGCTTGACCAATGGCTATTGCTTTATTCATGAAAGATTAGGGAGGAAACCATGAACTTAAAGACTGACAAGACTTTGATTCATGGTAACAATGAACTAGATCAATGTTATCACTTCATGTTCAGTAATGAAAAAACTCATGAGCCTTAAAGTCAAGATGAAAATTGATTCATTGTATCAGAATCAAGGATTACCCTGGCAATCATTTAACTTGTAATTGTTGATTAATCACCAATAAGATAAGTAATTAACTTTCAATTAGTTTTGCCAAAAGAAACTAAACTCAAATTGATTTACATGCAAAAAAAGAGACTATGAATTGATAATCAGTAAGATGAATTGGAATCAATTGTTGATCGAATTTCAATTGAAATTTTGTTTGCATGGAACTTGAAATGATCATGAATAAAGATGAGTGATGATTGAGGCAAGAATAAGAAGATACAAACTCCATGAAAAGTAGAAAGAAACTAATATGGCCTCAATTCTCATCCGCATCATTTTCCCATCTTCTTATTGATTCTTCCCGTTCAATGAGGTCACTTTCTCATCATCTCATCATCTTCATCTCTCTCATTTTCTCTTTTTTTTCAGAATCTTCAGAATTGGGTCAAGACTCACAGGATTCACATCGAATTATTTTTTTTCCTTGTCTTCTATTATCACTGAACAATAACCACGATGATACAGTTCCAAGTTCAGTTCATGATGGAATCTCTTCAACAGTGAAGATCAAGATTTCTGGTTAAAAGATAAAGTTCTGATGGTTTTCCTGGAGAGAAAAAAAAATTCATCTTTTCATCTCTTTCAAATTCTAAGTGATATTTTCCTTTAGATAATAGAACATACAACATGATGTATATTCCGTCAGATTTTCCATGGATGAGAAGAAAATCCTCATGGAAAAGATTGATTCATACGGAAAAGAAAAAGAAAAAGTTTCTCTGTAGTATTTATTAATATTTTCATTCTGAGAAAATATTTTACAATTTTCTCTATCAAGACAAAAGAATAGAAAATGAACTTGAGATAATTCAGTTGCAATTTCAATTTGGTTAAAATTTGGTGAAATTTTCAGAATCAGTTCAATTTGGTGTTAAGGTTTTTCCAATTGTCAGAATTGTAAAATATCAACAGATAACAATTGGAAACTGTAAATCAGATTAATCCATCAACTCTGAGCTTATCAACCTAATAATGGATCCATTTGATTCTGTAAACACATTAACACAAAACTAATTCAATAAAATGAACATGATAAAAGTGAACTTTTCATGGTTAATTCATGGTGATGATTGTGGAAAGGAAAAACAAAATTTCAATCTATTTACATGATAACTGATTCAAATCCTAATGGAATAAGAAATGGGTTCAATTTATTTCCGATCAACTGAATTTCGTCAATTAAACTAACCAATTATCATTAACCGGAAAGGTGATTAATCAACTACATGGTAGTGAAAGATCATCATGAACCAGGGTTATGGTTATTATCACTTCTCACTGATTGACTCGACTCGATTCATATTATTAGAACTTTTTTCTTTCTTTTTTCTCTTATCATTATCGAATTTATATTCTCTTTCTTAGTTGATTGTCATCACTTTCGAATTGAATCTTTGATTTCTTTTCCAAGCTTACAGATTCTCAGAACTTTTTCTCTTCCGTTTGTAATAATAATAGTTAGAAATTCAATCAATCTATTGATCGGATTCAGTTTATTCAGAAGATAATATTTGTATTTCTCATTCTTGATTGCAATTCATTTGAAGATACTATGGTTTTAATGAACATCAATCAGCTAATATTTCATGATCCCTAACGAATGACCCAGAACTTTATCCAAAATCAGAGTTCAATAATCATTCAGATAACCAATAGAAGCAAAATGATCCAATGATTAAGAATCCATTTAATACTTTCATGTTTGATTGTTATCCAAAGGAAAAATAATAACAATCAGTGCAACAATCAACACAACATCAATTGTTGATTATATTATCATACCCAACAATAATAAAAATTACATGGTTGTCATAATTATCCTTATAATCAATATCATTGATTTCATGATAATAACTTTTTACTCGGACAAGGTAAAGTCCTGAATTAAATACTAATCACCATACCTTTTCATAGACAGTAGTTTAAGTATTATAAATTTATTCATAATTTCATGATCACGCTTGTTGGTCTGATGATAAGCTGAATGATGAATTTGACATTTGGGTTGAGACTTTATGGTCAGTGTTACATTGGAATGGTCATTTAGATGATGAAAACTTACCCAAGAAGCTCAAATGTGATACATAAATGATTGCGGAAGTAAAAATAATCGTACATGTGAATCACATTGTGCATGGCATCTTTATCCTTCTTGGCTAAATGCTCGAGAATTTTGACTTCAACCAGAGCTTGTTGATGAAATCTAAGAATTATAAAGAAAAAATTGTCAAAATTCTGGTTAATTTCACCATACAAATCACTATGATGATATTATAAGAGAAAATTTAATTGCTGCCAAGATTCATATTCATCGATATGACGCTAATCAATCCAATCGTCTGCACCCAGATCATCATCATGGATTATCAGCTAAACTTGTTAATCTCTTTCTCTGTCTACGTAATCAACTTAATCTAAACTTTTCTCTAATTTTCCAGCTAAATTTTTATCACTTTTCTATTCAATGGTAAATGTTTATCATGATAATTATTACATGGAGAGAAAGTTTTTCCAATCCTTGGATTATCTCCAAAAGGTTGCAAGGGATGAAAAAGTGTTTAATCTTCAATTAGAACCTTAATCAATGTCTTGACTTAATCTGTTCAGAATTGACTCATTTTCATGTGTATATAAGACGATGAGAGATTCATCTAAATCACCATGATAATCAGATGAATCAGTGATTTCCATTATGAAAATAAAAGGGGATGACGATGATTGTCATCAAGGTGCAAGTTTCTGCCTTTCATGATAACTGAATGATGATTCAGGTTAAATGATAAATGTTTCGATTTCTGTTCATCATCACCATGATAATTCATCTTGTAAGTTTTACATGGATGATCATGAACTTGAAATGAGTGCAAAGTAAACACGAGAAAATATATATATTGCAATTGATTGAAAGGTAACCTTGACAATTAACCTGAATCCATGAACACCATCAACGTGAGACGATTTATCTCCGAGACTGAATTTTGCCTCCTCGGTGGAAAAAGACTCGAAACATTTTCACACCATTGATTCAGATTTTTCATCATTACATCATGATGATTATCATGAATACGATGAAATATGATCAATCATTTGAATGCCATCAACTAAAGTCTAATTTATATCATCGCATCTTCTTGATATTGATGAGCCAAAATTTGATTTCTCATTTTCACAACTTTCTTTCCTATTGACATTTCAATTTCGCCACCGAAAAGATCATCATGTTAGAGATTATCAGTCATTTGAATTGAACTGAATTAAGTTCTAATTGCTTGTCATTTGTTATATTACAATTGATTTAAAAGTTTTTGGAAAATGCAGAAAATAAATAAATACTCAAACCTCAAGGAAATCAGTGATTGAAATCATGATTCAGCTTCTGAACTTGATGAAGACAAAGTGTCTTGATTTTTTTTTCTGCTTCTTCATGGTAACTGATCACCAAGCTGAATCTTGATTGGAAATAGAGTTAATTTTGTGATACTTTTGCCAAGAAATTGGGTTTCAATTATGAAGCGATTACATAAAAAAAAGTATAACCTTGTTTTCTGTCTGTGATTGTTGGCTTCAAGTTCAAGGCTCAGACTAATTAGTCTTTTCACAATTAAAACGATTCACTAATTTAGCTAATTAAGATGCTCGAAAGTTGCTTAGAATGTTTAAAATTTATATAATGTTCTCACCTTTTCTTGTTCCGGATTATCTTGAGTGCTACATGCTCACCAGTCTTATGGTCAAGAGCTTTGATCACTTGTCCGAATGAACCTTTGCCGATCACCTCCAGAATTTCATAACGATAGAAAATATGATCATGAAGAACCTGTGGATAGATGCAGAGAAATTCAGTTGAAAGATAATTTCATGAATACATTTGAATTTGTAGTGAATCTGGGGAATTAATTCAATCGATGAACGAACAACATCATTATGGATTCAGCTGTGATTTTCTATCTTGAAATTCATGGAATAGAGATTGAGAACTTTTTTATTCTGAAATATTAGATTTTGGCTCCTTTTTCTTTTCATTATTATCTGTCAACAGGTAAAATGGTCTCATGATAATCTGTTGATTTTGTTGTAAAACTTTTTCTCAAGGTGAGACTCTGATTTTCAATCATAATTGGAAATTTATTTTTCTCTTTGTCTATTTACTATTAGTTGATTGTTTGTTTACATTATGATAAACAAACCAATGTAGTTGAATCTCAAATGATTGATTCCGAATCAATTTATCTGGTTCAGGTGATTATGTAAATTGATTCTCGAAATGAATTTACCATGTTTTTTATGATAATACTTTTTTTTTCTTTTGTTCAAAAAGTAAAATTCTGCTAAACAAAACTTTCGAATATAATAAAAGACAATTTATTCACTGATTGAATTCTGTGGGTTTAGAAAAACATACAAACATCAATTCTGAATTTTCGTGAATCGTTACAATTCAGCAGAGAGAGAGAGAGAGAGAGAGAGAGAGAGAGAGACGAACGAAACAAATTTTTCTCTCACTTTATCTAATTGTTATTGAAATATCCAAACTGATGAACAATTAACTCAATTGGTAAATGTATTTACTCAATAATAGTGTAAATTAATGATGGTTGGATATAATCACTTAATCAAATTGCATCAACTTTTATATTCGTTACATTAATTGATTGTGATAAATCATCAAGTGATTAACAATTTCGGATATGAAAATGATTGCGAGGGTGAAGAGCTAGAGATAAAGTTTCAATGTCCTGGAATTGAATTTCTTGAGGTAAAATAAGATAAATGAATGATGAAGAAAAGTTCTGAAGAGAATGAATTTTTTTCTTTTCGAATTTACTTTTTTTTCTTTTCTCTATTTTTGAAAAGATGATGATGATGATGATGAAGATAAATGTTCAGCTCATGATAACCAATGAACAACAATATTAATGATAATATCTAGAAGTTTGGTGTTCAAGGTTGGTGGGTGGTGTTTATTTACTTCAGGTAGACTCGAGAAAAAAAATTTCGAACTTGAAAAACTCGATTTTTTCTGATATATTCTTCTCGTTTCTTTGTTGTTCGAAAATCAATTTTGTTTTCCTCTCATTCCTGGGAATAATATTCAATATCAAACTGAGATGATTAAGAATCAGAAATATTATTGTCGAGAAAGAAGAAGACGAAAAAGAGAGGGGAGAGGAAGAAAAGCTCTAATCGATAACAATACGAATTCATTTGGATTCAAAGAGATGATGTAATTTTCATGATATGAATTTATGTTATACAATCAACATGATGAATCTTTTAAGTGTCACTTTCATAGTTCACATCAAGTAAAAATTTCTCATAATCATCTAGATGGTTATTATTGATAAAATGGGATAAGTGTTGATCTGAGATCAAATTTTTACCCAAAAAAGTGCTCAGGTTACATGATAAAAATCATGGTGACGCCTACACAATTCAGAGATTCAGTTTATTCCTCATGTTAACTCAGGAGATATTTTATTCAACTTGAGATAAAAATTACATTCTAAACGAATCAGTTACTTCATAAAGGGAGAGGGTTGAGTATTATTAAAGAGAGAAAGATGTTTGTTGATGGAGGAAAAAAGGAAGCGGAAGTGATGAGGGAATAAAGGGAAAAAGAGTGGGGAGAGACATGATGATGATCTCTATGATAACTGGGAAAGAGTTGATAAAATTTGTCAAGGAAAATTAGGATGAATTGGAAAACGGACATTATAAGAGGGAGAATTTAAAAAGATAATATTAATCGTTAGTATCTTCATCATCATTGTCTTTCCTTAGCTTCTTGTTGTTTCTTTTGATTTTCTCTTTTTTAATCTTATCATCCAATCTTCAAATGATGATAATATTACTTTAGGCATATGGCTTCGCTGTTATATCAACCATGGTGTGCGTAAATGTATCCGAAAGAGTTGAATGATAGAAGGAGGAAAACAAGAAAGAAAGAAAGAAAGAAAGAAAGAGATAAAAGGCAATTTTGTGTGAGGGAGGAAGATGTGGATGAGGATGAGGATGAGGATGAGGATGATATGGATGATGAGCTAAAGGAAGATGAAGAGATAAAGAAACAATAACATGATGTAAAAACCATGCTCATGATGGTGACTTGAATGAGCATTCGTAGTGAATGTTTATGTTGCTTTTTTTTACATCATCATTTTCATCCTCATCTTTATCATCATTACTCTCTCTCTCTCTCTCTCTCTCTGTCTTTTTTCCTACTCAGATAGAGATGTTGATGTAAAGAGGGGGAGAAGAAGATGAGGAAGAAAAAGAGAAAGAGAAAGATGCTTATGATGATTATGTTGACAATGAAATGGAGAGAGAGAGAAAGAAAGGAAAGGAAAGAGTAGAAAGTGAGAGTCAAATGGGAAGAAAATGTTACACTGAGAGGGAATTGGGTGGTTGATGATGAGAGTAAACAAGAAGCTGAAAGAGAAAGTGGAAGATGAGTGATAGTGAGAGAGAGAGAACAGTCTAAGTGTGGAAAAACAGAGATGATTAGAAGAAGACAAGAGATAGAAAGAGAAAAATTCGAGGTAAAGTTCAAGGACAATCAATAAAAATCATCTTCTTCCTCATGATCTTTATCCAATATATTCACTTATGTATTTTACTTTTTTACCGTTATATTAACACAGAAAATACAACAAACAAATAGTTATCCATACGATGAATTCATGGTGGATTCGTAATGATAATGATCCACAATTCTGAGAAAATCACTCATCACGATCATAACATAACCAGAAATAAAACACCAGAATCATCATGAAAATTAGAAATGATGATTTCCCATATCATTATTTTAGTATTTTGTTTACCATGAAAACAGAAGAGTTGAAGTCAAAAACACTTTATGGTAGCTTAACATTATTATTATCCTTAAAGTGGAAAAGGCTTTTTATTAAATAGTATTCACACAGAACTTTTTATCTCAGAACTTGGAGGAATTCATTGTTTGCATGGGAGAGTGAGAGAGAGAGAGAGAGAGAGAGAGAGAATAGATGTGACTTGTTCGTGAAAAGGAAAATTGGGTGAAGTCAAGAGGGTGAAAGAGAATTTGAATTCTAACATATGATAACCACTATCATGAACATTTCATGGGATTTAATTAGTGGTTCAAGTAGAGAGATTGAAAGTTGCGGTTTGTTGAATAATCATAAGGGAAATCATCGTCACTTTCTCAATGAACCTAATCAACAGAATGATAATATTGATTCAGAGAATTAGATAAACAATCGTTTAGTTATTAACAGTTTATATATTACTAAGTGTTCAGGGGGAAAGAGAGAGATAAATCCCTGAAAACTGAGCAAATAATCAACTGTTATATAAATATAACTGTTTACATCTTACCAGCTTATTGACGTTAATCGTTATTTTGTTTTCGATAAATATAATAACAATAATTCATTTTACATGATAATCTGAATTATAATCATCATCATCATCATGTAAGTATCCATGGGATACCAATGTAATAACTGAAACGAAATACAAACAATAACAGCAAAATTCAATTGAATTTTGAATTGGAAATTTTTGAAAATGTTTCAGTAGCAAAAAGCTCAAGGAGAAAACAGAAATTTCGATTTTCGAAAACCAATATTGACCTAATTTGTTTTAGAATAACAATGAAAATGATCATAAACTTATCTCTTTAGTTTCTTTTTCTCAATTGATCGAAACTAAAGTTTCTTTTCACTTTTGTCTCACTCATCATGATAATCATCTTATTGTTCATCATTAGTATCTCTCTCTCTCTCTCTCTCTCTCTCTCATTGTCTCTCACCTACTTGTCAGAATATGATATTAATGGTTCTAAATCAAAATCGACACGCGATTGAACCGGAACGAAAGTCAAGGTGACCTAAATATCAAGGTAACCGGTAAGAAAGATTCAACTACAACTGAAACGTGTTTCATGTCAACTCATTTTAAAGATTTAATTGATTAAGTAAATTGTTAATCATCATCATTAACTGTACACAAGGAAAACTAAATCAATTGTTATTAATATTTACTTTAATGATGATAATCATCACCAATTCAAATTGTTAATTACGGTTGAAAATAACTGTTGATTTTAAAAAGTTGCTCCACGATTTTGGACAAAACTTAAATTTCATTTTTTCCAGTTAATTGCTTTCCGATGATTATAATTGTTGAACTTGATTTCATTCATTACATTGTTTTGGTTGATCTAAATGATTCAATGTATCTAAATGTTGATAATAATACCAATTAGTTTCTTTACAATTAACTAATTGCAAAGAAACGACTTATTTTGTGTAGGATAAGAAAAAAAAAGTTAACTTTGATTAATGATGATGGGGGAAATTGAACCAATTAGTTAATTGTTGATGTTTAGTTAATTGTATCCTCAAGAATAGCAACAATTTAAGCCTCATAATTACAATTTAAATTTGAGTGAGCAACTAAAAGTAAAAAAAAACGAGCTCAATAAATCAAATCAATCAATTACTATAATTAGTCTGGAAAAATAATCAAATCAACCATCAAGACGGTCAACAATTAATTCAATATCTTCAGCATCCTTATCCTAATCCTCAGGTTTCAGTTAATCATTAGCTAATCATCAACTACCTACAAGATTTTTAGATTATGATTAACTTGATAATTAATTATCAATGATAAGTATTAATCTCATGTAGAAGATGAAAATACAAAAATTTTGACCTGTTTTTATACTTGATGATTTTTAATCATCCTCATCTTGAATGATAATGATGATGACGATAACTTATCATCATCCGGTGTAATATTAAACAGATGATGATGATGATGATGATGATTAAACCGTAATTATATCTTAAAATCTGATCCATTAATGAAAGATATTCAAATAACATCAACTACACCCTACGGAAGCAGACTGACTATTTAATGGTGTATTCATGATGATTATGATGATCAAGATGAAGATGTAATCATCATTAGCTGTTAATCATCAAGGTAAATTATGTGTATTGTTGGTTCAATGATCACCTTTTATTATTAGCATAACAATCATGATAATTATCATGGTGTTACTTTGGTGTTTACATCATTACGGTTTAAGTTACCGTTAGGAATGAATAATAATAGGAATGAATGAAAGAAAACTTTGGTTCTATTAGAACTTTTTTAACATTCGATTTGTGAGTTTTTCTCCTTTTTTGCTCGAAAAATTTGAATAAAAAAGCAACTTAAAGTTTTCTTTTTTCCACCCTCACAAATGTGAAAGTGAATTGAGGTCAGAAAGTGGAAAGAATAAATGAAAAAGTTCAAATGGATTCGAAAAATTCAGAGGAAATTTTCATTTTCTGCTCTTTTATTATTCTTTTGTAGATTTGTCATCATGACTCAAGTAGAAAAAGAACTTTTTTTTATAAGTTCCATAGTTTCTTCCAACATGGAAACAGAATTTTGTTCTTTTGTTCTTTTGTTCATTTTCTTTTCTATTTGTTTATCAATTTTCCTTTTGTTTTTTCTTATTCTCAGTCTATGTTTATTATCATTCTTCCCAAATCTTAATCAGTTCTCAGGGTATTCATGATGATGTCGTTTTCTTTGCCAACAAGATTGAAATTGATTCAATTTAACAGATTGAATTTGTAACTTTAATGAGAAAAAGCAACTTCATTACAACTAAATCAGAGTGGTAATTGTTATTACCCTGAAAAAAAACATTTCCAACTATCATATTGTGTCTCTTCAGGATAATGATTGAATTGCTCAGTCAACCTTTCATTTCAATTGTTTGGAACTTTTTTTTTCGTCCTTTTAATCAATGAATTAAAGGCAAAGTTTAGAAAAAGTTTTCCATTCTTTTTATCTCCAAAATTCTGAACTCACTTGAATCCTTCTTGGTGTAACTTTTAGACTTCCTTTACGATCTACCTAATGGTCAGGGCGGTTAAGCATTTGACCCTAATAAACACTCATTTGGACATGATGAGTGTGTTGGACAAAGTCACCTCACCTTGTCCTCTACTAATCAAGTATATCAGGTTTTTTTTTATTACTCGAGTTGATTAAAGTCAAATTAAATTAACTTGACATTGAATTAGTTCATGATGATAATCTTCATGACACTGAGATAAACCAACTAAAAGAGTATGAAAACGGATCAGAGGGTGGAAAAAGAGTTCATCAAATAAAAGTATTAATAATAATTGAAAATAGTAAATTTTTCATCTCGATAATCTCGATCATCATTTTCATTCATTGTCACCAATAATCAAGATCAATTTTCAAGTTTAAATTTGTTCAGTTCTCAGAATTTCCTACAATCATAATGATGATAATCAAGTTCTAGTAATTGTCATATAAAAAGATCAAGGTCTTTCGGGTCATAGGTAAAAGAATAGGTTCCAATGTCATTTGATGGTCATTTCATGTCTTCGATTGGATCAGTATTATCTCCAATCATTAAGCTTAATTATAAACTTGATTGGGAAAATGAAAATTTGATAATAATTCTGGCTAATTGTAATCACGTTAATTTATATGATAATCAAGTGAGTCTCAAAATTGTTCATATTTAATCAACTTAATCACATTTACTTTAAAGGTCATCATAATTATCTTAATTTAAATTGGTATTGATTGTCAATCATATTTATAATCTTACAATTAACGATCTAATTTTTTGTTCAAATTTTGATAAAACTTTTGTTGTGTGTACAAAACTTTAATCACAATCACAAAAGTAAACTATTGTTATTTAGTTAATTGTTAATTACGCTTTACAGTTACAATCAACAGTAAAGACATCAATTCACAACAATTTACTGATTGTTTATAATTATAGTATGTCAGGTCAACGTGTTGATTGTTAAAGTTTACAATTAACTGATAATATGATTAACCAATTTATTGTTAACCCTGACAATTTAAATGATAATAACATTTGATTGTGTTCAAGTATTTTAACAATTTAAATCAAAATCATGATTAAGATTAAATTTAGCTGATCAAGGTTAACTAATCAATATTACCTATTGATTGTGATTGTTAATCTAATTGCTAATCTAGTTAATCAACAAATCTCTCTCCCTCTCTCTCTTGATTTTGTCACAATCAATTTAATCCCAATGAGATTTAAACGTTAATTGTTTGATTGTTTTTATATATCATAGTCGAGAATTAACTTTCGCGACGATCTTGATTAGCTGATTGATTAGAAATTAATTTTTATTTCCCTTCTTCTCCTCTTACAATCTAATTAAATTAACATGATCAACAAAAAAAATTAGGTTAATCATTGAAAAAAAAAGTAATTTTCTTACTCTAATGATAACCTTGAGTTAATTGTTGTGTATGATTATAATCATGATAATGGGTTTTCATTGTAATATTTTTAATTTAAATCCAAGCATTGGCATCATTAGCACACACACACACTCGAGCAATTAGACTTTAATTATTACAATTAAAGGTTACCAAATAATAGTAACACTAATGATAATCAACTTGATGAATTTAGGTTCATAATCAATAACAACACAGGTAATGGGAAAAGTTGTTCAAGTTTTTGTGAGTTTCAAGTCTCAAGTTGATTAAGTTAATTGTAAATTTTGATGTTGTTGTTGTAATTTTGGTTAAGTGAAGGAGAGACGATTAATTTTAATTTAGTTAAATTAGCAAAGTTTACCTTTATGTAAGATCCATTATCATCATCGTAACCATGATTTTGTCCGCAAGCTTCATCGCCGTCAATTTTTGCCGCGTCCAGGCCAAGGTACCAAACTTCGGGATAGTGGACAACTTCAGCTCGTTCAAAGGCATTCATACGTAAACCATAATAGCGAAGTGCTTCTGAAAAGGGGCCAAAAGTGAAGGGTGAATGGAACAACAAGATTAGATTAGATTTTCTTTTTCAATTGTTACTTGTGATTAGAATTTAAAATTGAGTTGATATGTACGAGAGATTAGATCTTTTTCCTCTTCCTGACTGCAACTTTACCTTAGACGATTAATAATCATCCACCCACAAACGTGTGAGATGTTCATGTCAGAGAGAGAGAGAGACTCATTATCTTCCTCATCATCATCATCAAGATTGCACTTTATCCTCTTCCTCATTTTTTTACCTTGATATTACCTGACAAGATTATCTAGAAGTTTTCACCTTCTAAACTGTTGTAATTGTATTTTAGTTAATGAACAACAACAAAAACATTTATCTTGTTTTATTTACAAAGTTGATTGGGATTAAAGTGCCAACCCAATTTCCGGATGTCTGAATTATTGTGATTAACTGACTGGATGATTAAATATCTACAGTTAGATTGAGATAATTAGTTTGTAAACATTGGAACACACAGAAAATCAGGAAATGAATGATCTCTCTCTCTCTCTCTTTCCATGATTATCTGAGTTTCGAATTGCATTCAAGATAATCTAACCTCGAACTCATTGATTGAAAATGAGATTTTCTCTAGAAATTTAATTTGCTAAATCTAATCAAATGAATTAAATACCCTTAGCATCATGATACCCACACTAAAGATGCACAAAGACACGGACAATGCCCTCAGCTCACTCTGAGTGTTCCGGGTTGATGATTTATTTACATCCACAACAAGGTGGGGGTTGAAGATGAGGAAGATAAACAAAGAGAAAAAGCAAGAAAAAAAGAAAGAAAGAGAGAGAGAGAGAGAGAGAGAGAAACTCTTATCCTAATTTAATTAGCAAATCGAATTGGAAAAATATAAATAAGTACATATATGTATTGAAATCTCATTATCATTGAAAGTGAAACATGATTATGATGATCAATGATTAACTCATCTAACGGTAAACATGATTAAGATTATACAAACTAATTAGTTTCATGTAAACAAAGCAATTAATGATGAGGATGATGAAGATGATTATGACTGGGTTAATATATACATAAGAGGCAAATCAATTAATTCTGTTTAATAAGGAAGAGAAATATTTGTTTTTTTCCTCAAGTGTTTATCATTATTAATATTTACCGTTAGTTGATAATGGAAGCCTCATCCCATAAGGATCAAGCTTAGGTGAATGGCTAATCCTCCCATTGGTTAATCCTTTCAGGTTAACATGATTGTTGATATTATTATGATTATGATGATTATTGTGATCCTTATTAACTGAACTATTAACATTATTATTATTATTATTATTATTATTATTACTGATTGGCCAGAGTGACCCACTGTTTTCACATTTATCATTGACATTGGTTTCAGCTGATGGTGGGTTAGTGGTGGTGGTGGGTAATTGTTGTTGGGCTGTTGTTGTTGTTGTTGGTATTGTTACGTTTGATAATGATGAGGATGTTGATAATCCTCGTTTACCATTGGGCTCACATGGTGGTAAGGTGACAACATGATTGTTGTGGTGGTGATGGTGATTGGATTGATGATGAGAATGGTTATTCAATGAACTAAATGATTGGGTTATTGGTTGAATTGAGGATGAGGATGGAGGTGGTTGGGTTGATGGTAAGTGTAACTGTTCACAGGTTTTACTCTGGTTCATTTTGAAGGTTATCGGTGGTGGTGGTTGTGGGACAGCGGGCAGATTCACTTCCATGGTGATGGTTGTGTGTAAATTATTTCATCGAACTCACGAAGAAACAAAATAAAAGAGACAATTTTTAAGAACTTTTTTTCTTTGTTGTTTCTTTTTTTTGTCAATCTTTTGTTGTTGTTGGTCTGATCAACTTAATCTACTTTTATAAACTACTGATTATCATGAATGAATTCAGTGTAACCCAATAAACAATATTAGTTTTTTTTTCGTTCGTTGGTTTCACCAAGAAAAACTAAGAAAGAAACAAGTTTATCAACCTTATCATTTCAACTCAACTTTGTCTTGATATGTTATCATGATGATGATAGAGAGTGAGTAGGGTGAGATGAGAGACTCACTCAAACTGTGCGTGTAGTTTACTTTTCCCACCATCGTCTTCATCCACCCCACTCTCTTCATCATCATCATTGTTACTCATACTCAGTTTCCATGGTTACATTTCAGTAGTTCTAACAATTTGAACCGCTCAATTTCAATTCAAAGTTTCATGTTCAGAACAAAAATCTCTCTCTCTCTCTCATTCATTAAATTGAATTTCATGGTAATCATGATCAGAATGACATCTGTTGGATAATCAGGTAAGTTTGATGTTTTTTGTCGAAAAAAATTTTTACCTATCAACTTATTTTCACTTCATAGCAATTAACTTTAATTCTTGTATATTCTTGGAATTGATTATTCTAATCATTGATTGATTCCTATGATTTAAGAATGAACCATTAATTATGAATTAACCTTTCTGATCATTAAGATTGAGAAACTAGTTGATTAATGGAAATTGTTTTTTATTAAATTGTCAATTTTTAGTCAATACAAGTTTCTGATTTACATATTTAATTAATTATAAAATATATTGGTAACAATCAACGAGGAAAATGTTTAATTTCCGATATGATTTTCAACATAATAACAATTTAGTTGGAAGATTATTATTATTAATCAATTGACTTTGTCAAAGTAAAATGTCAAATTCAATTGCTATGATTAAAAAGTGTCAATGTCTCTTGGTAATATTTTCATGGTCATCATCGTGAAGATGATAATGGTCATCGTGATGATGATGATGATGATGATTATCATCTCAATGTTTATCATCAAGTTTGTCAAACTTTACATTATCAAGGTGGATGATATTGATCAGAGTGATGATTTTACTTTCATTATTTGATTGACAATTTTGCTCTTTCTTCAGGTATAATCATCATCAATTGTCTGGTTACGATGATGTTTATCAATTGTCAATGAACTTTAAATAACAATCAACTTCTTGGTTGCTATTAAAAAACGAATCGAGTTCATTCAATCATAATGGTGTTCAAGTTATCCAACTTGGTCCTTGATCTTAACGGTGGGTAAGTAAATGTGTTTATTATAAATTTTTGGTATCACAATGAATACAAAAGTGAGCAATTTAAATGACCAATAGAGTGACCAGTTGGTTGTTTATAGCTGTTTATGGTTATCGATTTTTTCTTCCAATTCCTTTTCCCCGATTCTTTTGAATTACCATCTCCAGTATGGTCTGATTTCAGATTCTGGGCAAGTGAATATCGGTTAACTGAGACTCTGTTGCATGGCTCCATCTGTTATCCAGCATTGGAATTACATATGTTGAAGGTTATATTTACAAGTTTCAATGATTCTCAGGTGATCTAATGAACTTACATGGATAACTATATGGATGCTCTGAGTTGGTAGTTGAGTATCGTCCAGATAAGTGGCTTGATTTAGGCTGAAAACAGATCGAAAAGAGATAACAATAAAAAAGTTGAAGAAGAAAAAAATTTCTCGAAAGAAAGACGACTATTTATAATATTAATAATTTCTATCAGTTCAATGAGATGGCAGCATGATATTTATGAGAAACATGAATTGATTTTGAGCAAGTTTGCTTAGAGAATTCAATAATTTACCTTGGTTACCAGGAAAGGAACTTCATAAGTCTGCTCATCAGCTGATCGACCATAAATATTGGTTGGAGTTGTTGTTGAAAAACCATCATCAGTACAAGTGTTGACTGAATTGGTTGAATATTGTGAACAGTTAATTGGAACTGAGCATCTTTCAGAATTTGGAGTTAACATTGATGGATAGTAAAGGCACTCTTTAATACTAGCATTCCCACCTCCACCTCCACCGCCATCAGATACAAGATTACCACCACCACCACCACCAAGTCCACCATTTGATTTATCATATAAATTGGTTCTCGATTGTTTAACTGACATTTCGGACATTGGAAGTTCTTCCGAATATGATATCGACTCTTTGATTGAACAAACTCGCTCTGAATAAAGTTAATTTCACCATGAATTTATCATGTTGTAAATGAAAAGGACAAGAAATGTAAGAAGTAGCAGGCAAAAAAAAATAAAAAGAAAAGGTAAACAAGAGAGAGATTTAATCAAGTTAAATGCACTTTAGTTAATTCCCATGATAATCTCACTGAGATGAGAGATAATGTTCAATGAGATTCTCAGGTAAAAATATTTTACACTCTAAATGAAGCAGATAAACTTTTGTTCAAACTTTTCGAGTCTCACAATTGGCATAACAATCAACGAAATTGATTCTCATATATTGTTCATATTCATACGTTCATTTAAATAGTAAACATATTGTCATGAAAATCTCCGCGCTATCATCATGAATTACAAGTGAACTTTTTGCTTTCATTTATTTATATTCTGAATATCATTTGAAATCTCATGGAAACTTGAACTTACCAGGTTTTCTTGGTATTGGTTTTTTCCTCAAACCAAAGACAAGTATAACAATACAACCAATAATAACGGAAACGGCGATAATCGGAAACAGAATAATATTTATCCAGGCAACATCATGGTCACTTATTGACCAACCAGGTTCAGAGGCGAATGACGATCCGCTAAAGTCACGATTTGAGGTGGCAAAATTGTATTCCGCTTGTGTTGTACCTGAATCGCTTCGAGCTATGACTCGTATACGATAACCAGTATCGGGAATTAAATCTCTCAACGGAAGGGATTTGATCTCACCGGAAATTGGTTGACTCAATTGTTTCCAATCGTTTTCCCCGGTACCACCACCACGAAGACTACTACTCTTGTCCATTTTGTACTGAATTTTAAATTCTTTGATGGGACAACCACCACTTTCCCATTCTTTAAGTAACAGGGTGGTTACGGTTCCGTTGGTTCGGATAAATGATGCAATGGATGGAGCTCTGGGAACTATTGATGAGACACAATGACCATTCAGATGACCATCATGGTGACAAAAAAAAAGAGATGAAAAGTTCAATTTGAAAAAAGTTTTGAAATTGAATGGAAATTGAAATTCACCAAAAAAAGAATTGAATAATATTCAAGCTGGATTCTGATTCTCTTATTGAAATCATGATAAACATTTGAACCAGAATATTGAAACTATTATCACGATTCTTATTCAGATTCTAATAATAATAAACTGATCAATCGTTTTAATGTACCTCTCTATCTGATTGACCAATTCATTGGTCATCAGAATGTATTAATTTCGTTCATGAGACGAGAGAGTATTTGAAACCATTCGGAATTTTTTTATCTTCCTCATCTGATCAACAATAACTAGAATTTACTTTTATATAATCAGGGTAATAGTTATTTCTGATTCGTTACATGCATAAGAAAAACTCAGATAAATATCACCTAAAAATAGCCATGGTTAGTTGAATTCTGATTACTTTTTATTGTTTATTTGTTTTCATGGTAATTTTCAAATATTATATGAGCAACCAGATCAATCATTTCAAGATTAGATTGCTGATTGCCTGAGGTATTTGTAAAGTATTGTAATGAGAAAAGGAAAGTCTTTCAACATTAAAATGTCGAAATGAGAGTCGATAAGGTCAAGCCCAATGTTGAACATTTTCATGGTGGAAATGCAAAAATCAGCAAATTTAATATTTCCAATAGCTCGAGGTTATTACATTACCATGAAGATTACTATTATTATGAAGCTGAAAAATGACCAAAAGGAAAATGTAATAATCATTGACCGGAAAGACTATTAATGATATTATTCAGTAGTAATAGTTGTAGTATTCAGAGTGAGAGGAGATAAAGGTGATGCAAGCAAATTATTATCATGAAAGATCAGATTCATATTCATCATATTTCATTTTTCTCCAGTTCAATTCAAATGGAAATGAGAAACTTGAAAATATAACTATCAAAATAACCTTTGATAAGGTCATTCTGATAATTAATCTGATAATGAAAACCTTAGAAGTGATTTATCTAACACAATTGTATCGATTGTAATTATAACTAATATTAGATGTCAAGTTGATTGTTGCTGTGAGATAATCATAACATCTAGTTATTGTTATTATATTATTCCTACGAGAGGATAACTTTGAATTATTGAAAGGTATTAGTTGTTAACTGTTATGATGTTTATAACTATTCCTGGAATCAATTGATTATCTAAGTGTTTAGATGCTCATTGTGATTACCAATTACAATTTACTTAGATCTTTAATGATAATTTATCAGTGATAATTAACGAGTTTTAATATTCTTTTGATTATCTATCTGGCAATAGATAAATTGATCATCAATTTTCCTCGTTCAATGTTATTTATTGAAACATTTTCCCATGAAATGATATACAAACAATTTAGGTCTTGTATAATACGAAACTTTTTGGCTGATAAACTTCATATTTAGAGTGTGAAAAGTGCTGATTTATTTTAAGATTTTCAAGAATATTTAACAAAATTGCGGAAAATTTGAAGGATACAGTCATGAAAAATGAGTTTCGAATGATGAAATAATGTATTACATCTGCAACTTCAACATGTCCCAAAGTTGCAGATCCACTCACAGCACCATTGCTGAGCTCAAAATCTATTCTGACCGTCAAGTGACCTTGGAAAATTGTCCGAACAGAACGACCGAAACGCCTATGAAATTTAAATATGACACTTATAACTTGAGCCTGGGATCTAAATATGTGAAGAAAAACAATTTATGTAAGAAAAACTTGGTGGAAACTTGGTGAAATGCCCTGTATTAATAATATCTGATGAACTGAGTAAAAGAATGAACTAATTATCTCCTTGTCAACTGTTTTATATTTTCCAACAGATTATCAGATCAATTCTATTTATGATAAAATTTATCATCTTAACTATTATTATGATGAAATATGTGTTCTTCTGAATATTTATCTGGTCTATGGGAAATGATATTAAATATGGGAGATAAGATTAAATAATCTGTTAGGAAAAATCTGTTACATTTGATAACTGAAAAGGAAATGAATATCTTATCATGGATTGGAACTGTAATTTCCTGTGATATTTACCTTGTATCAAATGAATCTATTTCCATTATGATAATAATCAAATCAATTGATCATCTCCAATACTCATATTGTTATGGTAAACATCAGATTTATACTAATAAATTGTATTGAAAGTAAATCAGTTTAAGAAAAACTGAAATTCTGATGATTAAGATTAAAAGTCAACTGAATTAATATTAATACTTTAAATCAAACACTTTTCACTTGATTATCTGATCATCTCGATTTACTTTGATTGTTTAATGAGATTTTGAGTTTTTGTTTTTCTAATTTCATCTAGATCCTTAGCTGAATATTTAATGATCATGATTTTCATGATAATCTTCATTTCATCCACACAAATTTATGTTTGTATACCAACAATTCACCATGAAGAAAAAATAATGAACTTTAATAGTCTGAAACTGGTAAATTCTGTAACAATCAGAATAAAAGTTCATTAGAGTTTTTTTTACTCAACCTGAATGAAAATTAATACTCATCACATTATAAAGTTACTATTGTAATAATAATATTATCTGGATGATCATGATAACAAGCAACAATTGGAACTGATTAAAAACTGAACACAATGAGAGATTTATTGAAATTTATGGAAATTCACTAACGATTGGAACATGAATCTTATTCATCCCCATGAGAATAATTTTTCACCTCAAATAATTAATATGAAAAGAACCAGTTGTTCACCTTATTTAATTGTGAATTTTAAATTCGAAGAATAAAAAATTCTACCTTGTTAATAAACACTTGCCTCGAAATTAACCTTAAGATTTCATGATAATTTCGTATTCCATATTTTTCATTCACTCATAAATTTTATCCTCAAGTTCTGAGGTTCATGTTTGAAAAGTTCAGTGAAATCTGAACTTTACCTGTTCCATTCAGAGAGAATCTTTGATAGTTTAATATAAAACGATTAAATCCGAATTATTGTTCACCATGATGAGAATCAGGTCATCAGTCTTCATTTATTTGTGATGTTTCATGATAATTCTGAGTTCAATTAATCTTCATTGATAGATAAACTCATTGTTAATGATTATCACTGATCGAAATTGATTGTTATTATTATATTAAAATGGTAACTCTAGTTTTCCGATTTGTTATATTGAACCATTTCAGAAAGTCTTGAATCCATATTAACCTTGTCGATTGGTTGATTTCCATGAATTTCATGATTAAATCATATTATCAACAGTGAAATCAGTATGAAGACATCAAACTTATGGATTCATCATGTAATTGGAAACCTAGTCTCTTTTTTGACATTTCTACCTAATGAAAAGTTCAGTTGAATTCCGTGATTTCTTTTGAATATCCTAAAGAAAATCGTTGATTCAATGATTCAGAATTGATATTTATTGTGATTCTTGAAATTGAATCATGAGATAAAAAGGAAATCTGATCCACCAGAATAATAATCAACTTGAGTAGTTTTTTTCTCAACGATCAAGTTGAATCCAAAAAAACGGTCAGAAATTAATGTTTACCTGAGCCATGAGTTTTAGCCTTAACTGGATTAGATGGTAATCCGTTACCGGCCTCATTGTAAGCGGCAATGTAGATCTCATATTTTCGACCACAGGAAAGGTCACTAAATGTATGAGAATTAAACTCGGTATCAACTCTGTACTCGATCCAAGATGAATCCTCTTCCTTGATATAAACCCGATAACCTTAAGAAAAAATAGTCGACAAATAAAAATCAACAGAAATTTTAATCTTCTTGATTCACTTAATCTAATTGTTTAATTTATCAAGATTAATCTGTTACCTAAAATGTTTGCATTTGGATCATTAAGCTCCCATTTTATTGAGATTGTATTATGTCCAGAGGTGGAAACTTCAAGTCGAGGAGCTTGAGGCAAATCTAAATGAGTGAAAAATGTGATTAGTTGATCCAATCGATTGAAATTAGTTTATCATTACCTAAATCTTTTGTTTTAACGGCAATTTCTGGACTCGCTGGTCCAGCACCTTTGCGGTTAAATGCTTTCACTATGATAATATATCGAGTCGATGGAGTTAAACTGTTCAATGTGAATTGATAAGGTCCACTTTGGTCATCGACTTCGTGGGTTTTGAAGATGAAATTTTTATCCATCGTTGGAAGTTTATAGCCGATGTAATAACCTTTGATACGATTACGACTTCGCATCGATTTCGGTGGTCTCCATTTGACTTTAATCGATTTTGAGCCAAAAGGTTCAGCTCGAACATCGGAAGGATATTCGGACGGGACTAAGGTAAAAGATGGAGAAAACCAAGTTTATCAAATTTGAAATGAAAAAACAAAAGATTAATAAACTAATGAGGTAAAAGATCTGATGGATTGTCAATCTAATCCTAATCTATGTTAATCTGTTTATTCATTGAACCATTTGATATTCATTGACATTGGAAAAAACTGTGAAATTGATCAATGAGTTTTTTCATCATCACATTGGATTAACTGAATAGTCTGAAGTAGGTTCATGGTGAGTTTGTATCATGAACCATGAGGAAAATAATTGATCGACTGAATAAGAGACGATGAGGATAACCAGATTGAAGATGAAGAAGAAAACTTTTTTGATCTATTCTGGTGCATTTTTTTACTTCCAGATTATATTTACCTTCTAGTTCAGTGATTGCATGTAAAACTGGACCAGGTTCTGAGGTTCCAAGACTATTTTCAGCTAAAATTCTGAGATGATACGATGTCCCAGGCCATAGGTTGGTTATTGTGGCTCGGGTTTCAGTTCCAGGTACTCGGAGTTGTTTCCGGTCAGTTTTCCAATCTCCAGTCACTTCCTTGTACTCGATAACATAATGAAGGATTAAACTGTTTCCGGCATAAGGAGGAGACCATGATAATGATATGTCTCGACTGTCAACCTTTGTTATCACTGATTTACTTGGAGAATCGGGTTTCTCTGGATAAGAATAGAAAAAAAACATAAAAATGTCTTTCGATTGACATTTGAACTTTTTCATGGGGACATTTAACTCATTACATGGAAAGAGAGGAGAAAAAAATCTCCATTCGAAGCTCTTTTAACAGTTCATGATGAGAATTGAGCTCAGCATTCAAACTCATGAAGAGCAAAAAACAAAGAAAAACGATAACCTAAGTTTCAATATCATCATGTCAGGGTTGATTTTCCATGTCATGATGAATATGATGAGAAACCTTGTATTATAATATACGAAAGCAAAAAAGAGATGACTGAATCCATAGGGTTGAATAGGTCAAATGTCATGTAAATATCATGTCAAAATGATGAACATTTTGATAATAAGAATGAGATGTTTCAATAAGATTAGAAACAGAAAAGATGAAAAAAGTTATATATTTCGGGATAGTTAATAGTCAAATGTTCAATGACGATGATAATCATCAAGTGAATGAGCATAATCATGGTGATGGTGATGAACAATTGATGATGATAAGCTTGTTTAAGTGTCAATTGGATGAGGTGAAATCAATTGATGATTTTATTTTGATGTTTATCAGAATGAAAACATTGAGAGTGAAGGATGAAGATAAAGAGGAGGAAAAGGAATTGATGAATCTTACCAATCGATCAGTTGAAAACGATCAAGATGAACTCTCTCTCTCTCTCTCTCTCTCTCTCTCTTCCTTTTTTATTTACAGAGAGAAAAGTTATATTTCCGTCCACGTTTTCACTTTAAGACAGATTGGGTTGCCTTCAATTATCTCGAATCAGATCAAACAGAACTTTATATCTCTCTCTCCTCTTCTTGATTTCTGACTAGTTCTCATCTTCATGATGATGAAGATACATCTTCATCATCATCTGATCACTTAAGGATCCATTATTTTGCTTGGATGGTCACTCAATTGTTTCTAAGTTTGTTTTTTCTTTCTCAACCTCTTGTGTTAAACTAATCAACGCCAATTGAGTTTATTACAACCTTCAAACAACCTTAACTTGATCCTTAGAGTGATCATGTAAATGTATGTTAAGTAAATGGGTTCGATGTACATGATAAATTCAATTAAAATCTTGAATTTTAAAATAAACTGTTCGGCTTATATTTGAATCAATGAACAACAATTAACCTTTGATTTGGAAAATTTTTCTTGTGCCTTCTCATTATTACATCTTAATCAATGGAGATTAAAGTTTTTAGTTTTGCTTTCTCGTCTCAAGAAATTCAATTTCATTGAAAAGTTTTATTCATTTTTTCATCTCATGTTAATCTGAATACTAATTTAAAATCATGTAAATGGTTGAAATATGAATGAAAACTTTTCAATTAACAACTGAATTAACTTCAAGCAACTGATTACAATTTATAAGATCTACCAAAATTTTATCTAATTCATTTTAATTAACTTGAATGTGGGATCTGTCATCAGATTTTTACTCATATCTTTTTAATTATCATGAAATTTAAACTGAACAAGTGAGAAGTGGAAACTGAACTTTCATTATCAAAGATCAGTAAGATTTCAGTTTGGTCGGAATCTTATTATTTTCTAATTATTTTGAAAGTTCCTTGAGAAGATAATCAATCAATGATAGTTATCATGAAGATAGAATGTCCAAATTCAATAAGAAAATCAGATATAAAGTTTACTTTATCTTTTTCTATTAATATCGAAAGTTCATGATAAGAAGATATTAAATATTGGAAAAGATCTGAAAACAAAATTCTGAGGTAAACTCGATGAAATTTGAATCCCACCCAATGAATATGATGGAATCTTGAACGAGAAAAAAGAAATGACCAGCAGAGAGAGAGAGAGAGAGAGAGAGTGACCACCATCATCATCTAATAGTTATGTAAAAACCTTTCATGGAAATGAAATTTTCTTCCTCTGTGGTCATCTCAGACTGTCCACTCATGTTTATCATGAATATACGTTCAGAATTTGTCCTAATTTCTTGTGTATCAATTTTCTTATTGTTTTTCTCTTAATCAATCAGAACTTTCCCCATTCCACCGCAACCATTTTCCTAGTAACATGAGTTAGAAATTCAAGCGATTGAAGAAAAAAAATATAATATCATTCCATCAATTCTGAACATATCATAGTTTTCCATGTGATATATTCATGAATCTCGCTGAGAAAATACTCCCAGCCTATTAGCAAGAATACAATAGATAACCAAAAAAAAGAGAGAGGGGTTAGTGTAACATTCTCTCATTGATTTTTGATTATATTAATAATTCTCGTTCTTTCCTCCCCCGATCCCTGATTACCATGAACATTATCATGGTAAATAATAATCAGAATCATATCTGGAACTTATCAGAATCCGTTAATCATACAATAGAAAATTTCTGAACCTCATGTTATCCTAATATCTTTGTGTATTTATGTACACAAATGTTTCTCTTTCTCTCTCATAATTCTGAATAATCTCAAAAGTTCTGATCATAATTTCAGGGGTAAGAATAACTTTAAATAATAAATTTTCTCGTTAATCTGTTCAACTTTCAAATCCATGAAACATTCACCAATTACTTGATAAAATAACAATAGTCAATAACTTTGAGTAATCACATTTCCATAGACACATGAACATTTGAATTGGTTTCATGGTGGTTATAATTTTTCAGAGTAAAAAGTTAAGGGTAAATTCAGCAAGATAATGATAATAATAACCATGAAAGATTGTTTCAAAATGAGTGTTTAATATTGATGATTGTAAATTAAATTGTTTACAATTAACTTTCCAACAATATTGTGATAAACTATTAATTCAATTTACTGTTAGAGTTTCTTAAATCATGATAATAATAAAATTCAACTTCCACCCAAAGGGTTTGGGATAAGTGATTTTTTATTTCACAAGCCTGATGATGATTGAAACAATTACCATTAACTATGAACAATGTTTTCTTGTTGATTGTCAACCATCATTATTTATTCAGTATTATCATGAAAATTTCAACCCCAAAGTATTAATATATAAACATAAAGTTCTGAGATCAAAATTCAGAGAGAGAGAGAGAGAGAGAGAGAGAGAAATGAAAATTGTTTCTCCTTTTATGAAGATAATATCATGCTAATTATTCAGAAGCATCATAAATGAGATACCAGTGATTCTGAATACTAATAACATGAGATTTTCCATTTCTCAATCTGTTGAATCTTCGGGGTGTGTAAATTACCATGAATACATGGTAATTTTCATGGAATAATTTACATATTCGAAAAATTTTTGAAATTCGAAGCAAACAAACAGCGAACAAAAAAAAACGAAAATAAATTCTTTCCTTCATGATAATAACATTTTTCGTTATTCATATTATATGATTTTTCATCAACTCTGAATTAAATCTAATGAGCTAATGAGTTATCCTGATTGTCCAAACCATGTGCTCATCTAATTGTTGTGTTAATTGTAATTAAAAGTAGATCCTCTTCATAATATCAAAGTGATTAGTAAATTATTATCCTGTTGTTGATAGTTAATTGTTTGTTAATTATTGTATTAGAATCGCAGTTGCAGAATAGGATGATAATGATAAAGGAGAAGAGTAAAAAAAAAGTTCATTACGATTTTCAAATTAGTCTAAACTATAACTGAATTTAGTTAATAACAAGCTAATTAATTGTTTTTAATGTATAATTCAATCATCAGTAATTGTCATTATCAAATGTATCATCATCATAATCAGTTTGCTGATTAGTTAATTGATACAATCGCCATGATATATATATATATATAAATTACTAATGATATCTTTCAGATAATTTAATCAATTGTATGATTATCATGATGATGAAAATCAGGATTGATTACTCAGCACTTATCATGTTAATCACATAGAGTTAGTTTTGTAATTAGTTTAGATTAGTGTTCATATTATCATTATTATCAATGAGTTAATTGTGATTCTCTTTATATTATTTGTTTCCGTCTATTCATCACTGATGATTAAGTTAATTGTAGCTGATATAATTAGCTTACCTTGAACTATTGCTTGGATATTTGTCTTATCACTACCATAGCTATTGGTTGCTGTACAGGTAAATAGACTTGAATCCCTGCGATCAGCTGTTTCTACCTTAATCTCAGAGATTAATCCATAATCTGTCATATGTTCACTGGTTTTATACCTTTTATCTGATGTTGGTATAAAAACTTGACCATCTTTACGCCAGTCAATGGTCAACGGCTTATCCCCTAAGGCATCACAACGAACGACTAACGGTCCACCCTTACGAACAGTTTCCACCTTGAATTCCTACGGAAAAAAAATTCGAAAAGAATAATTTTTACTTCTTGTTCTTTCATTTTTTTTTCAACTTCTTCTCATTTATGATAATCCAACTCAATCGAAATGATTCCATTTTCTGTATCATTTCCTCTTCCGGTTCAATTGTTTTACCTTTATCTCTCTTTCCTCTTCATCAATTGAATATTCATAGTTATTATCATTCGTAGTCTCTCCTATGATTTTCCCATTCAATCATTGATCAATTCTGAGCCGATCTCCCTGTCAATCAATCATGAACTCATTCATGATTCTGCCATGAAATTTCAAACATTATAAAAACCCAAAGAAAATTTAAAAAAAATGGTTGAATGAAAAACAAACCAGAAAAGTTAATCACTTTCAAATCTTAATAAACATCAACAATTAACTTGATTACTACGAGTGTCTTGATTAAAATAGAGTAACAATTTAAATGAAAAATAATCATGATTGATGAACTGATTAAGTTTAAAATGTAAATTTTGTTGACAATCAAAATTTTCTCCAACACTGTTCAACTTTTAGGAAAATATTAAAATATCATTAGCATCCTCATCTTAATCAATATTTATTGTTCAATTTTTTTTACAAAAAGTAACTTGATGATGATCAATGATTGATTGGCTTTTATTGTTGTGTTTAATTTAATTGTTTACCTCTTTAAAATGAGCTGGTGATCTGATTTGAATCTCGATTATTGTACTGATTCCGTTTCCAATTCCATTTTCAGCTGAACACATATAATATCCTGCATCCGATTTATCGGTTGATTTAATTTCAAGTGTATTGTTAGGCCATTGACGGAATCGTCCATCAAACTGGATTAACTGGAATGGACTTGAAAGATTATCACCAGAGGCACGTTTCCATTGGATAACAGGATCAGGAAAACCATCAGCTTGACAGTGGATAAATATATCTCTTCCGGTTACACCAACCGAGTTCATTGGTTCCAGTGTCCATCTTGGTCGTGCTATAAGAAAGAAAAACAAAGTAACAGAAAAAAAAGAGAGATGAAGGAAATGACCAGAGAACAGAGAACAAGTAAAAAGTTTGAATCGTAAAATGTTACAAATGGTCAAGATTTGAGACGAAAGTCGAGTGATTAGTTAGTGACCAAGATGAAGAGGAAGAAAAGTTCTAATGGGAGAAAAGAAACTGAACCGGAATCAAAATAATCGAAAGAAAATATTTCAAGTAACATTTTCGCTGCTCGAATTTTAACCCAACCGGATATTGCCTTTTCTATTCATTTAACTATTGTCTCGAACTTTTTTTTTTCTTCTCTACCAAAGTTTCCTTTTCCACAGAACTTTTTTTTCTCATCTCTCCTTGATTATCACCGGTGGGTGTGAATGAGGAAAAGTTAATTGTTACAATCTCTTAATTTTACTTTTCTCCATAATCGTAACTATTCAGGCAAAGAGTTCTAGTAGATTAACTTGTTAATTGTTCAACTTGATGAGTCTCTCAAATAATTTACTGTTATTATTGTGATGATAAGACAAATTTAATGTTTTTTAACTGCAATTGTTTCAGATGAAATAATAGTAATCATCTTAAGTTTTATTTTCTTCCCTGAATTTCATGTAACTTTTCATGATAATGGGAGTAAATTTTTATTCTTGTTACAGATTACAAAAGTCTACAAGATAAATTGGTCAATTAAAGTGATACTCATCTTCTTGATAATTATCTTGATTGTGATCACAATTAACAACCTTTTAAGGCTCTTAAAACGTTAAATTATTAATATTATTTTATCTAAATTCACTCGATAACAATGATAATCAGAATCGAGTTGGACAAAATTTCAATCTCTCATGAACTTCCCGAACAACTTTTTACCTTTTCCAACCATAAGTTTAATTACATTCCTGTCGAGTTGAGATAAAGTTAAACTCTGATCATTAATTAAGGTAAACTAATTGTTTAAATCTCGAACGAAAAAGTGTTGAAGTATTATATTGAAAGTTTACGATTATCGAAAATGATTAATGTTGAAATGTTTTGATGAATTTTCTGTCTCCCTGATAGTTAATTAAAGGTTAAAATGAGGATAAAGTTTAGATATTAAAGTAATGGTCAGTTAAAAGGTTCGATAATTAGCTTGATGACCTTACCTCTGACCAAAGCAGGAGCAGTGTGATTGGTTGATGCAACTCCATTGGACACTAGGCAGGTATAGTTACCACGATTATTGAGTTTTACCCGGGAAAAAACTAAGGCCACTGAGTAATCGTCCAATGAAATAGTGGACACCCCATCTTCACTAGAGTCAAGTAAAGGTTTACCATCTTTGTACCATCTAATTGTAAAGGGTGGATCACCTTTGATAACGGTACAAAGTATCTTAGATCTGGATCCCTCTTCAAGGTAACGGGAAAAATTGAATGGATCAATAACTGGAGGACCTGGAATACAATTAATATTTATCATCATTTGTTACAAAAAGGTAAATAGCCATTGGTCAAGTGATGGTGAAGAGAGAGAGGAAATGTCACAATGATAATGATAATAAACAGAAAACAGGAACATCAAACAAGAAAATGAAGGAAATGAGAGTCTAAAAGGAAACGGAAATTGACTTTATCCAAGAATCATAATGTAATCTCAATGAACGATGCAAATGATACACAATTTCCTCGAACACACTATTAACATGATTATCAGAACTTTTTTGTTTTCTCATTTATTCTTCTTCTTCATTTTTTTTTGTTCTTTTCTCCATCAATAATAATAAACATCCTGAATTATTCTGATTCCTTTGTACAACTTACTTAGAGTTGAAATTGGTGCTTCATTTTGTATATCATAGTGGACGGTACATTGGTCAGTATTACCTTGATCACATTGTTTACTTGGTAAGATTATGAGTGGACTTGTGTTGGGAGAAAATGAATGTTGACCATTATCATCTGAGTGTAAGAAAAGATGGAAAACCAATCAATTAATATGGAGAAATCAATTCGAAAATGTTGGAATTGAAAAAATCGACACAACTTTTTTGATAGAATTTGAATTATCTTCCTTCGAATTCAGAACTTTTTCTCTCTCTCCCTTTCACTTTCTTCCTTTCTTTTTGTAATCTCTTCTTCCATCATGATAACCATTATAATCAAAACTCACTCACCAGTTTTTGGATAAAATTGCAATATTTGTATCATGTTTGCATGAATAATAAAATCAATATTATCATTATCTTTTAGAATCTGGATTTCATTTCTTTACATGGTGGAAATCTGTTCCCATGAAATTGAAATTTCATGTAAAAAAAATCTAAGAAATTGATTCAATTGTTTTCAGCAACAGGATTTGTCATCAACTTGAATCAACATCATGGTGATGTTACCTTTTCCAACATCTTATTTAACACACTGAGAAAAGTTCAGGTGTAGAACTTTTGTAAATTTAAACTTCTTTTCCAACTAATATGTATCCTGAGTTTTATCCAGAAAGGATCTGAACTTTTGCTTTTCTATACCTTTTCTCAGTTCAATATTATCTGATGTTTAGATTTCACAAGGTTGATTGACCATTAACCAAAATCATCATCAAAATCACCTTGTTTGTATCAATATGTTTAAATAAGTTCATCTGATGAATAATGAAATAGGTGATTTCATCATATCTTTTTTTTGTGTTACATTGAAATGAACTTCATCTTTCATGGTGATTACCATGATGATGATGATGATTATGGTGATGATCATTAGGTGTTGATATTTGTTCAAAAGTAAAGGTAAATATTGAAACAATTTGCTCTCATCATCATTAATACCCTGAGCGTTTACATGATGAGTTATCATGTGTTATGAAAAAATAACTCTGATTCCCTGTTGACTTGAAACCCAATTGGAGGTGAAAATTTATTTCCACCGGTGGCTTTTACAATTCACACCACGTAAAGCTAACTCTTTACACTTTCAAACAAACATTCATTGAAAGCTTCATTAACCATCTGATTAATACTTAAATGGTTATATGATGATGGTCAATTTGAAGACATGACGATGAGTATAACAAATGAATAATTCAAAGTTAAAAGAATGAAAAAAAAAATTCATCCTGAGAAACTCGAAAGTATCCATCATAACATGATAATATTTCATAATGATCATGATTACGAGGATGAAAAGCTCAGAGTCATCTGAAAAAAAATTCTTTGCTTTTCCAAGATTCAGATACATAAATCATCATTTGAGAGAGATCATCATGAATTCATGATGTTTTATGCTTAACTTAGCTCTCTATTCAAGGTAATATAAATGTGTAAGATTCGGTTGACAAATGAAAACAGAATCAAGTTAATTGCTTCAAATTAAACAATCAACTTATTGAACTTTTATAAATCATTTTTTGGCTTCTTCTGTTTTATAAATTCAAATGATTTAATAAAGTTAATCAATATTATTGAACGATAAGGAAACTGAAACTTTAGCAATTTGGTGAGTTATTACATGAGAAAGAGAGTTAGTGAGTGAGTGAGAGAGAGAGAGAGAGAGAGAGAGAGAGAGAGAGAGAGAGAGAGAGAGGCAATTGGAAAGATGAAGGATGATTATGAAGATGATAAAGATAAGATGTTGCATGAGGAAGATTAAGGAAGATGATAAAAAGAGGTAAATTTTAAACAGAACAGATGATTGAAGAAGTGGGAGTGGGAAAAAGATGAAGTTATTATTTTACAGGGGAGAAAGAGAGAGAAAATCAAGAGAATGAATAAGAGAAGTTTATTTGAATTTTTTTTCTTTTTTTGCCACTGAACAAGATGAAGATGATGATGAAAATGATGAAGATGATAAAAGGAAGATACTGAGATTGATTGTATTGTCAAGAGCAGCTTAGTTAAGGAAGGATAAACTTCATGTTTCACAATAAAATATTCATTTTAAATGGGTGTTGAGTGATCCTTCATTTCAACCAGAAGACTTGTCATGACACACACAGGGAAGATGAAGATGAAGATGCGAAAGATGAAGAGATAGTGTGTGAAAGAGAAAGAGAGAAAGAGAGAGAGGGAGAAGCAGAAGTTACAATGATGATGAAGATGCAAAATGAACAACTTACTGAAAGATTCAGAGTAATTTCTTCCTCAAAGATATTAAACTTTTTTCTCTCTCTCTCGTATAATATTTTGAGAAAACAAAATCTATCTTATGAACTTTGGGTGTGTTAAGTGTATTGAATTCAATAGAAGTTTTTTACTTTTGAATGTTCAGGAACAACATCTCTCTCTCTCTCTCTTTCTTTCTTCATGTCCATAAATGATTTGTCTTGAAATGACTTCTTTTTTCTACCTCCCACCTCATCATCATTAGATACTCAGGATAACCACACCTTCACCTTCGTGTCATCAGAAAATTATAATCATGTTATTTTTAACTGAATTTCGTCTCATTCTCTATCTCATTTGCTATTCATTTTTTGTTTTATCGAGATTCAATTTGGTAACATTGTCAATCAATATATCCTTTCAATAATCATCTCCATGTAATCGTCAATGTGTATCAATGAATTAAAATGATCATAATCATAATGATATCAATAAACTCAATAGTTAGAATGTTATAAGAACTATCTATCTGGTGAAAGTCTTTTCGATTTTTTATCGATTATCTCTAAATAGTTTTTATTAGGACCATAACCTTAATCTACATGATGCTCATGATGTCATGGGCTCTACACTTCATGGGATAAGATTTCGAGATCTCTTTGAGATAAAAGTTGGAGAACCGAATTAAATTATCTTCCAATTCTTGAATTCAAGGTGAAAAGGGAAAGAAAATAAAAATTATGATTTCTGAACATCATCAAGATCATCTGATTTTATGAAATTGGGTCGAAAATTTTATCTTCTTGTTCCTCAAATTGTTCGATCTATCGAATATAATATCTTTTCGTCCTCTGTCATTTTCCATCTCTAACTCATGTCCTCATACGTTGAACTTTCATGATAATAATCGTATCATCATCATGTAAGTTCAATATAATCATATCACTGAACTTTTGTGGCTAAATGATGAGAAGATGAAAGAGCTTAGAACAATAATGGAAGCCAATAAGAGAGAAAAAAATCCAATAAATTTCCAAATCGAACTGAGAAAATATCAAGACTATGAAAAGAGAGAAAAGTTCACCCAAAATTTCATTGAGAATTTCAAAAGACCCAAATGAAAGGCAGAGATCATGAATATCATGGAAATGACCAACAGCCAAACAGATTAGATGTTGGATAAAGAAATTAACATGAATTGGATAATATTAATAATTAATCATTTCACCAGAATGAATCTTAATTCTGAAAACAATGATAGTTGAGGATAATGATAATGATAATCAAGAGAAACATAATGATAATAATAATATCATGATAATCTTCATGGGCCAATGAATTGAGTCATAAATATAATGTAAGTAAACATTTAATCAACATCATTGCCCTTCAATAATCATAATGTTAATTATTCATGATGATAATAATAAGCTTTCAACATGAATGATATAAAATTCATATGAATTGTGTTACTTTATTTCAAATGATTAGGAAAAAAATGAAGTAAATAAAAAATTAACTTGATTCAATTTTCATTTACTGTTGTTTCATGATCATTATCATGGCGATGATATCATGATAATGAAGATAATCATTTATTTAGATTTATCTTAATCTTTATCTTCCTCATCTAATCTTACTGATTGAAGTTAAACTTTTCACTTTACTTTAACATCTAGAATGTTCATCTCATTGACAGCAATTTAACCGAGAAGATAAATTAATTTACTGAGAGACTGATGAGATTCTGAGGGAGAACAGGATAGTTGGTCTGAACTTTCATCCCTTCAGAACTTTTCTGTTTATCTTTTCCTCTTTTTCTCTCTCTCCCTATTGAGCTAAATTTACGCTCAGAACTTTTTGTTTTCCTAACTGATTCCAATGATGAAGATTCTACTCCTCCCTTGATAAGCAGAAAGTTCAGATCTTGAGATTTCATTGTTTTTCTCATGTTACTTCAATCTAACACTTGATAATGATGTTGATGATAACAATGTAATCATATCATTGTGATTAAATGATTAAGAGATTCAAATTAACGGTTTCAAATTGTTTACAGGAAAAACAAACAAACACATAAACACTATGATGTTTAATACGTTCATTAAATGAAACCAATTAACTTGCCAAAAACTCATTAACTCATAATGAAATTTTATCATCATTATTTTACAGAGCATTTTGGATTCACTGCGGCTAAAATTCATATGAATGTCAAACTTGACCAGAGGATATCGAATATCATCAAGGCAAAGAGGCATGCGTAACTTTTTGCGCTCTTCAAAGGTTGACCTTAAAATTATCTATCAATGTGTTCTTCTGAAAATGACCTTGAATGTCGTAAGGTTGAGTTCTTCAATTCTATTACTTAGTCCTCTGGTCATGTTTGACTTCATATGACATTTAGCTATCGAGATACTCAGTGAAATAGTCGTAGTGGATAAAAAAGGTCTTGTATAACTTTATGGACTCTAATTAGCAAATCATTATGAATTTATTACTCAGCATAAATACAAGAAAATATAATTTCCAGATTGATTATTTAAATTGTTATCATTGTTTTTCCATTGATTTCTTTGTAACAACCAATTCTGTGATTCTTATAAAAGTCTTGATCATTGTTTTCATTTAAACAATCAAACTGTTTTCCTAAAATCATCATCATGTTAATTCATCAACAGTAATCAATCTTGAGAGAGAGAGAGAGATTCGAATTGTTAATGTTTGCAGAAAAAACTGAAACTAAATTAAGGAAATGGAAACAAACTGAATTTAGATTGAATTTTGTGATTAGTTGATTGGTTCAGCATTTAATTCAGATCATCTCTTAACTCTTTGATCGTTAATCTCTATCTCTGTGTGTCA